TGATGACATTTTTTTTTTTTTTTTTTTGAGAAGTGTCTTTCTATATAGCCCTGCCTGTTCCGGGACTCACTATATAGACCAGTCTGCCCTCAAACTCACAGAGAGCCACCTGATTCTGTCTCCTGAGTACTGGGATTAAAAGGGTGTACCACTATGCCCAGCAACAAAAAATTTAAAAAGAAGAAACAATGAGAGTTGGAGCTGTTGAAGCTGGCCATAGGGAGAATGCGGTGACATCATGGTGTGAATGGTAGGGAGAAAAGAATGAAGAGGTGACTATCACAGCTGTACCTGTATCCCCTCTCCAAGCCAAACTGAGTTCTTCCTCCCTCCCCAGCACTTCCCGGAGCACCTGGACCACTTTGTGGAGAACATGGAGGACTTCTCCAATGACCTGTTCAGCAGTTTCTTTGATGACCCTGTGCTGGATGAGAAGAGCCCTCTACTGGACATGGAACTGGATTCCCCTGCTCCAGGCATCCAGGCTGAGCACAGCTACTCTCTAAGTGGGGATTCTGCACCCCAGAGCCCCCTTGTACCCATCAAGATGGAGGACACCACCCAAGGTAAGATGTGCAAGAGCCCAGGAGGGAGGAAGCTTCTGGGGGGGAACCAAAGCAGCCTGAGACTCCCAGGGCATCTGCCTGCAAAACCCTTCCAGCAAGGTGCAACTCCTGACTTTTTGACCCCCTGAAATCAAAACCACTTGGCCACTTCTTAGGGCATGCCCTGACTTCAGTCAACAATCAGTTCACAAAGAGTGGTCCTTAGGCAGCAATGTCACTATCCGCCTGTTCAAATGCAGAGCCTAGGGCTGTTGGGAGTGACTTAGGGGCTAATGTGCCTGTCATTCAAGCATGAGGACCTGAGTTTGAATCTCCAGCAACCACATAAAAGCAGGTAGTGGTTGGTGGGTCCTGTAACCATAGGGCAAGTGCATGGAGGAAAAGAATAAGCTGGGAGACAGATAGATCCTAGAAGCCTGCTGGCCAGAGAACTTCAGATTCAGTGAGAGACTTTGCTTCAAACAATACTTTGGAGATCAGTAGAGAGAAAGACATCTATATCTACCCACTGCTACCCTCTGTAGGCACAAACATGAACACGCACCAGTGTCCCCTCCTATACACATTAACACACATAAAATAAAATAAAATCTGGCCATAGTGGTGCACACCTTTCATCTCAGCTCTCAGGATAGAGACAGTCAGATCTCTGTGATTTTGAGCCCAGCCTGAGTTACATAGTGAGTTCCAGGACAGCTAGAGCTACATATAGAGATCCTGTCTTAAAAAAGCAAACAAACAAAATTAGTAATAATAATAATAATAATAATAATAATAATAATAATAATAAATGCAGATCTGCAGCCAGCCCATCATGGTAGCGCGTGTTGGTAACCTAGCACTTGGTGTCGGGTGAGTGGATGGTAAGTCTGAGGCCAGTCTGGACTGCATAGTGAGACCTTGTCTCCAAATACATAAACTACAAACAAATGAGGGCTGTTGAGATGGTGCAGCCACTCCTTCAGGTTAAGAGCTCTGGCTGCTCTTCCAGAGGTCCTGAGTTCAATCCCCAGCAACCACACGGTGACTCACAACCATCTATAATCAGATCCCATGCCCTCCTCCATTGAGCAGACAGACATGCAGGCAGACCACTCACATATAAAGAAATAAACATTTTTAAACCAGGCATTGGTGGCGCATGCCTTTAATCCTAGCACTCGGGAGGCAGAGGCAGGAGGATCTCTATGAGGTCAAGGTCAGCCTGGTCTACAGAGCAAGTTCCAGGACAGGCTCCAAAGCAATACAGGGAAACCCTGTCTCGAAAAACCACAAAGAAAAAAAAACAAAAACAGAAACAAAAACAAAAACAAAAACAAAACGTGCCTGGAGATAGTGGAGTCATGGTCCATGGTTCTCTACTGTGTAGAACACACTAGATTCAATTCTAAACAAACAAAAATCCAAACTGCATTCCCCACTCAGCCCCGCCAAGTCTTAAACCCTGTAGATAGGACCCAACATATCAGGGATGCTGAGAACCACTGATTTAGAGCAAATAGTGGGATAATTAAATAATAGATTAAGCTAGGCATGATGGTGCATGCCTACGGTCCTAGCACTTGAGAAGCTGAGGCAAGGAAGATCATGAGTATGAGGCCAGGACTGGCCACCTAGCAAGTTCCATAACAGCTTTGGATACAACACAGACCTACCTCAAAATAATGACCATAACTACAAAAATCACCATTACAAAGAATCTAGAGTCTCCTATCTCCTTATACTAAGACAGGTTGGTTGTCCTGGTCCTGTCATTTTTGACTGAGTTTCTTTTTTAAATTAATTTATTTTTATTTTCTGTCTATGGCTGTTTTGTTTACATGTATGTGTGTTAATCACATCCACGAAAAACAGGGTGATAAACTCCCTGGAACTGGAATTACCAACTGTTATGGGCTGCCATGTGGGTGCTAGGAATTGAACTCTGGGTCCTCTGGAAGAGCATCCAGTGCTCTTAACCACTGAGTCATCTCTCCAGCCCCCAGATCTGTCTCTTAACCTCTAGAAGACCCAGTATCTCAGTATTCTTTGGGACCACAGTAAAAGTGTACAGAACATTCTCTTTCCATGGTGCCTACAGGTTCCCTGTTTCGTTTTACCTCACATTTGACCCATAAGGAAAAGACTTCATGCAAGTAGAGCTGTCTGGTTCACACTAGCAAATAGATACAGAATAGAGTGCTAGAGCTAACCCTCTGGTTCTACTCTCTGCCCTTTCTGTCTGCCAGCCTTGGGGACAGCAAAGGTGCTGGGTTGAGAACTCAGTAGGATTTTTTGTGTCACTTGCTATCCCCATTAGCTTATGGGTGACTTTGAGTAAAGTCTTTGACTTTTCTGGACTTCTATTTCCTCCATTATAAGATGAAAATAGGAGCTAGAGACAGTCGGTGATGGTGCATGCCTTTAATCCCATCACTTGGAATTAAAGTCTGATCTACAGAGTGAGTTCCAGGACAGCCAGGACTGTTACACAGAGAAACCCTGTCTCGAGAAACCTAAAAGAAAATAGGGGCTAGATAGATGACTCCAGTTAAGAGTGCATACTGCTCTTGACTAGGACCTGAGTTCGGTTCCCAGCACCTGAGTAGGGCTGTGCACACTGCCTGTAACTCCAGCTTCAGGGAGACCCAGTTCCTCTGACTTTGAGGGTACCTGCACTCACACACAGACATATACATAGACATAATTTATTTAAAAACTAGGGGGAAACTCTTTTTTCATTTTTTAAGAGTTATTTATTTATTTATGTGCAAGTGCTCTATCTGCGAGTACACCTTTATGCCAGAAGAGGGCATCAGATCTCACCGTAGATGGTTGTGAGCAGTTGCTGGGAATCGAACTCAGGACTTCTGGAAGAGCAGCCAGTGCTCTCAACTGCTGAACCATCCCTCCTGATGAAAATAATATATACCTGAGAGTTCTGGACACAAATGAAAAAAATAACCATAAATTTCCCAGCTTCAGGCCCACATGGGTTATATATCAACAACCAGCCACTGTTTGGGGTGGAGGGTCACATTAAAGTTCTATTAATTTTAGGAGTGGCTAGAACAATGAATAGAATTTGTTCACCTTCCTTTCCAGAGGACAGTGGCCTTGGGTGTGAGTTCTTGATTGTCCCATCTATTAAATGGGGGGGGGGGGGGGAAATGGTGCCTTCCCAGAGTCATTGTTAGCTCATGAGCATTGGGGTCTTAGACTGTATTGTGCTGCAGGGTCTCTCCAAGAGTGACAGGTCTTTGTCCTCCCTGCCAAGAAACAGTTGTAGGAGGTCCCATGGCTTGTGACTGCTGAGATCCCAGCTGCTTACCACGCCTCAGCATCTGCCAAGTTCCTGGACCTCTTTGAGGTCTCAGACTCCAGCCTGGGAAGAGCAGGGATCTGATTTGGACCCCTCTCATCCCATGACAGAGTCTCTATCCACCCCGCTGGCTGGCTCAGCAACTCTGCAGCCACCCAGGTCTATTTTTAAAGCAATTTGTCGGTGGCCCTTTGCGGGGGCAGCTTCCCGGTTGTCCACAGCTTGGCTCTGTAATTTGGAAAGGCTGTGGGTGTTCCTGGACCCCGGGGCTGCTTGTGGGCCAGGGCTGGGTTCTCAGTCTCCCAGCAGGAAGGAGCCTCTGAAGAGGGACCAGACAGACTCTAGCCATCTCCACACCCATAGCGGACCTCAGAGTCCCCTCCATTCTACCCCTGCTGGCTGACCTCCTGGCTCATGCTTTACTGCCCTTCCTGCTGCAGTACTCCCTTGGAGCGGGAGACACCCATGGCCCACCAGAAGAAAGCTGAGGCATTCCTCACTTCAGCCCAGGTGAGGCCAAAAGACCCGCTCCATGACTACATGTTAGGAGACGGACTCTGCCATGGGAAAACCTAAGCATCCTGCCACCTCCATGAGTCCCCATCACGGAGTCCTAACTCACCTGGACTTTGAACTTTGTTTCTGATGTCATGTGTGGTGGCCCAGTATGGAGAAAGCTTTGGATTCCATCCTCAGCACCAGCATAAGCTGAATACAGTGGCACACACCTGTAATCCTGATGCTTGGGAGGTGGAGGCAGGAGGACCAAGGTCATCGAGGTCACCCTCAGCTGCATAGCAAGTTCATAGCCAGCCTGGACTGCTTGAGACCTTGTCTAAAAAAACAAACAAGCAAGGGAGAGGGACCTGGGATTAACATGTAAAATAATCTTCTTTCTAATTAAAATAAAAAAAAAAAAAAAACCAAACAAGCAAAAGGGGCTACAGATGGCTCACCAGTTAAGACCTGGGTTCAATTCCCAGCACCCACATGACAGATCACAGCTGTCTGTAACTCCAGTTCCTGGGGATCTGACACCCTCATACAGACATACATATGTGCAGGCAAAACACCAACGTATGTGAAATTAAAAAAAAAAGTTTTAAAGAAACTTTTTTCTTCCAAGTCTTTCCTCTCTGTTCCCACTGCCTGCCTTTGTCCAGGCCTCATCTTCTCTCTCCTGGACCATTTAGTCCAACAGTATCCCCGACATATACCTCCCAGCCGCATCTTGTCAGTCCCTCCCCCACACCTAGAGATATAGCCAGTCTGTTTGTTCTTTTTACATAATTGGGTTTCGCAGTTCACATGCAAATCTGAAAGTGACAAGCAACTGGGCAGCTCTTGAGGCCCCCCAAATCTATGAAATTGATAATCTGGGGGTGTACATGGATGTTATTGCTCTTTATAGAATTCTCTAGATCTCCTTCATCAGAACGGCAGTTCCTTTTAGCCAGCCTTCAGTCCATCTTGGCACAGAGGGTGGGGTGGAACGGTTCATGGTGGCTGGGTAGCAGTGGAAAGAGCCAGAGTTATTGTTGTAAATTGTTTAAAAAGCGGTGTCAGAGAGAAAGACACCATGCAACAGAGTTCAAGCAGAGGGGTTTTTTATTAGGGAAAGGGGATTGTGAAAAGGGGGATGGGAGGGGGAGACCAGACACCAGGGACAAGAGCAGTGGAAGAGAAGAAGGAAAGAGAGGGGGGGGAACAGGCAGAGAGAGGAGAAAAAGAGGAGGATGGAATGGAGGTGGGCAGAGCCCTTTTAAAAGGGAGCATAGTGAATAGGTACAGGTGGTGCTCTTAGTGGCTGCAGCTGAGGGCATATCCTGTCAGAACTCCAAGGGCAGGCCAATACAAATGCCTAAGTACTAACAGTTATGCTTTTAAATGAATAATCCATGGATTGGGCTGGAGAGACGGCACGGTGGTTAAGTGCACTGGCTGCACCAGGTATGGTGGCACAAGCCTTTCATCCCAGCACTCAGGTGACAGAGGCAGGCAGATCTCTGTGAGTTCAAGGCCAGCTTGGTCTACAAAGTGAGTTCCAGGACAGCCAGGCCGGTTACACACAGAAACCCTATCTCAAAACACTGGCTGCTCTTCCAGACTTTCTGAGTTCTATTTCCAGCAACCATCTATAAGGGTATTTGATGCCCTCTTCTGGCATGTAGGCAGATATGCAAATAGAGTACTCACATACACAAAAAAAACCCTACATAATAAAAAATTTTTAAAAATCTGGGGCTGGGGCTGGAGAGATGGCTCAGAGGTTAAGAGCACCACTTGCTCTTCCAAAGGTCCTGAGTTCAATTCCCAGCAACCACATGGTGACTCACAGCCATCTATAATGAGATCTGGTGCTCTATTCTGGCATGCAGACATACATGTAAGCAGAATACTGTGTACATAATAAATAAATAATTTTTTAAAAATCTGGGGCTGGAGAGATGGCTTATCAGTTAAGAGCACTGGCTGCTCTTCCAGAGGTCCTGAGTTCAATTCCCAACAACCACACAATGGTTCACAACCATCTATAATGAGATCTGGTGCCCTCTTCTGGCGTGTAGGCAGAACATTGTATACATAATAAATAAATAAATCTTTAAAAAAAATTTAAGTATTGCAGATGGCCGGGTGGTTAAGAGCCTGTGCTGCAGGAAACTTGAGTTGGATTTCCCAGCACCCATGTCAGTGGCTCACAAAGCACCTGTACCTCTGGCTTCAGGAGATCCAATGCCCTCTTCTGCACACACCTGCTCTTTTGTTTGTTTGTTTTGTTTTTTGAGACAGGTTTCTCTGTATTGCTTTCTCTGGAACTCGTTCTATAGACCAGGCTACACATCTGATCTTACACACAATTTTAACATAATAAAAATAAATCTAAACTCATGAGTCCCAGCATGTTCAAACCCCTCTGTGGCTCCTCATCACTTTGGGATAGAGTTACAGCTCCAGGACAGCTCCCAAGGCCACGCCAGCTGCTAACCTTTCTGATTCCACCGTACTTGCCCAACTGTTGCCACGCTGTTCGCTAGGGCAGTGTTTACTGAATACTGATAATCATGTTAACACTAGTTACTGCTTAATGAGCATTCACTTCTAGCCAGGCACTGTACTTAGTGTTTAAAAGCATTATACTAGTCATTCTTGAAACCTCCCAATTGGGTCTGTCCTTTTCATGTCCTCATTCTTTTCCCCATATGTGTTTGTATTGTGTGTGTGGGTGTGTGTGCGCGCGCACACACATAGAAATGGATGGTAGGTATCTTCCTCAGTCACTCACCCATTATTTTTTAAACAGGGTCTCTCACTGAACCTGTAGCCCACTGATTGGCCAGACTGGGTGGCAAGCAAGCCCTGAAGGTGCTCTTGTGCCCATCCCTCCATCACTGGACTGATAGGCATACGCTGTTGCGCCCAGCTTTTTATATGGGTGCTGGGGATCTGAACAAAGGTCCTCATTCTTGCACAGAAAGACCTTTTCCAGACTGAGCCGTCTCCTCAGCCCCCCTTTGCTCATTTTAAAGATGAGGAAGCTGAGACTCAGAGGGTCAGCCACTTGCCTAAGGTCACACAGCGAGTCAGGGGAGGTCTAGATGCTGTGGCCAAGCCTATTTGGTGAGCATTTAGATACAAAGATGCTCTTGCTACTTCTGGTTCCAGCGGACCCATCTCACTTCACCAGAGTGCCCCAGCTTTCCTGCCCATACCCAGATGGGCACTCTGACATCACTCCTCTGTCAAGGGTACTCGCCAGCAGGCAGAAGTTGGTCAGAGCTCTCTGCTCTGGGAGCCCCTAACCTGAGTCCTTCCCACTTCACCTTCCCCCAGATGTGGAACGTGGAGCGTGGGCACTGGGACACAAACTGTGCTCCATTATGGTGAAGCAGGAGCAGAGCCCAGAGCTGCCTGTTGACCCTCTGGCTGCCTCATCTGCCATGGCTGCTGCTGCTGCCGCTATGGCCACCCCACCACTGCTGGGTGTCAGCCCCATCTCCAGGCTGCCCATCCCTCACCAGGTGAGCCTAGGGACCACTAATGGGGCTGAGGGAGGGAAGTAGGCTGAGGGGAGACAGAGGGGAGTGACACCCAATGTCCTGGACTCCACTCCAGGGCTCCATGAACTGAGAACCTTGGGGACTAAGGTCCTCTGCCTCCCACACTGACCACCCCTTTACCATCCTCCAGTAGGCACAAACAGCAGTGCCCACCAAGCATGCTGGGCCCTCCCTGCATGCAGAGAAAGCTTGAAGGGCACCAGGCAGGACTGAGGTTAGTTTTGAAGTCAAGATACCCCCCACCCCGGGGGTACTTCCTTTCCTGTTAAGTTTCAGGATTTGGAGAAAGATGAACATGTAAATGCAAAAAATAGTGTTATATTTTAGTCTGTATTTAGATTAATAAGCTGCACTCATAACAAACCCTACGTCCACTTCCAGAGTGTATAGGGAACCTCACATTGCCTTCTCTCTTTTTTCTTCAGCTTCCTTCCATGTAAAAGGTGCAAGCCACAAGGCCTAAAATTCTATAGCTTAACAAACAAACAAACATTAATCCCTAGGCAGGGGGGTTGCCTCCTGCTGACCACCTGGGTTCAAAGTAAGCAGTCTTAAGCAAGAAAGGTCACCCTTCCTGCTCCCAAGGTTCCAGGGAGCTGATTGACAACCAGCTACATCCTTAGGGATTCCAGAACTGGCTTAGCTAAAGTCAGGGGGAGGAAGGGATCACAGTGGAAAAGGAAACGGAGGCTCCCAGGAGTTAAGCCACAAATCACAGTCAGAAATTTCGAAGCCGCTTTCCAAGTTTGGTCTGTCAGACCCTAGAGTGGAGGGTTCCCACTATAACCAGTGCAGGCCACTGGGGCCAGTCTGTAGAGAGCCATATGAACCACTAAAGTGCCTCTGCCACTCTCCATCACAGTCCCCTCATCTGTAGTGCTGACACTGAGCTGGGTGTAGACCAGGGTATGGCCAAGTTCCTGGACACCCAGCACTATCCCTGATTCTTCCTCATTGTTCTAAGTTCATCACTCTGTCCCTCACACAGTGTAGTGATCTCTGCTACCAGCAGACCCAGTGGGGAGAGACAATCCCAAGAGCCACAGCCTCCTCACTGAGATCACCATTAACGGGCATGTTGGTGATGTTCACATGTACAAAACCACACATGTTCCTGAAGCCCTTTCTAGAACAATACTTTGGAATTTAAATAAATAAGAATGTACATCTGAGCTGGGTGGTGGTGGTGCTTGTGCCTTTAATCCCAGCACTCAGGAGGCAGAGACTGACGGATCTCTGTGAGATCAAGGCCAACCTGGTCTACAGAGCAACTTCCAGGACAGCCACGAAGAAAAACAGAGAAACCCTGTCTCAAAAAAAAAAAAAAAAAATGTACATCTGTTTTCACCTGTGCCTTACTTGAAACCCCTCAAGGGCTCTCACTGCTGCAAGCTTCCTTATATGTACTCGACTTCAATTTGTGTCCCAGGATCCATGTCATGTTTCAACTTTCTCTGAGCCTTAGCCAGTTAATTCCTCCTGAACTATTCTTCTCATTCATCCAACAGTTACAGTGAGACTAACATGACCTCCTGTGCTCATGGTAACCACATACCAAGGCCTACATGGCTTTCATAGTTGGTGAAGGGGCAGCCTCTCTCTACCTGGAAGCTGGCATGGCCCCAGATGCCACAGGAACTATGCATACCTCCTGAGATCCAGTTCTCACCTACAGTGTGTAGCCACCTTCTCTGCTCTTGGGTGTAGTATGGCTTGTCTAAGCATAAGAACTTGCCTCTCTGTTCTTTCTGGGATGAGCCCAGGACTCTTGAGACCAGCCATTGTTCCAAATATTCCGGAGGGAGGGAGGAGTGTGAATGACATGATGAGGATTGTTCCCCTGGGCAGGTGATGGAGCTGAACCTGTCTCTTCCTCAGGCCCCAGGAGAAATGACTCAGCTGCCAGTGATCAAAGCAGAACCCCCAGAAGTGAGCCAGTTTCTCAAAGTGACACCAGGTAAGTATGTACAGGAGACTCTTTCTGATCCCAGACAGGCACTCCCTCTGTCCAGACCATGCCTGTCCCTCAGAACTCCCACTTTGCTCCCAGATGTTCTCACCTCCCCAGTAAATGAGAATTCTTTAGCTATCTATGCTCCCTCTTTTTCCTCCAGTCTTTCTCTACCCAGTCTTCAGCTGCCATCGTTCTACCAACGCCAGTCCATTTGCTGATCTTCTAACATCCACTCGCAAACTGAAGGCCACTTTATAGTCAGTCATCCTTCCTTCCATCCATACATCCATCCCTTACTCAACCATCCACTCATCTAACTATCCATCCACCCATCTACCCACTTATCCATCCAAATATCCGTCCATCCATCCACCCATCTGTCTATCCACTTATCCATCGATCTATGAATCCATCTCTCACTCTACCACCCACACATCTATACATTCATCTACTCATTCACCCATCTCCACATTCATCCATTCGTCTAACTAACCAACCATTTATATGCCCATATATCCATCAAACCATCCACCAAATATCCATAAATTCATCCATCTACCCATGTAACCATCTACCTAAACACCCACCCGTTTATCTATCCGTCCAACCAACGTTTATTGGGTACCATCTTAATTGTTCCAGGCATTGCCAAAGCAAAGAAAGAAGACAGTCTCTGTACCCGAGTAGATCACATGGTTCCTAGGGTCACAGACTCAGCAGTGATATGGGTGTGCAGATAGCAAATCCACAGGGAGCCTGTACAGCTCATTGGGCCGAGGGAGCATGGTCAGCTTCTGTGAATTACTGGAATGAGAAAGGGTAGCAGAATCATTCCAATCTCACCACATTAATTTGTGAATACTGATTCAACATCTATATACATGTGTCAAGCCCTGGGCTAAGTATTGTAAAACTGGACATATGAATAAGATACTGTTGGTGCTTACATGTTGAAGAGCAGCCAGAACGCAGACGAGGCGTGAGAAAGAACTTGTGTTAAGTCACCTCGTACTGTGGAGTTCCTAAAGCAGTTCCCCCACTTACCAGCTCACTGCACCCTTGCGGCTTGGAGCTGACTTTTTTCAACCTTATTCAGTAGATGAGGGAAGTGAGGCTGGGGAGCTCACCAAGACCACATGTATTGGAGTCATTACAGTCAGAACTTGATCTCAGGTCTGTGGATTCCAAGCCCTTCATTCTTTTTGGAGTGGGATCCATAAGAGACACACAAGCATCAGAGGAAGGAGAGAGGCCTGATGTGGGTGCCAACCTGCGCCAAACCCTCCACTCCATGGCCATGGAGCCCAGGTTTCCACACCTAGAGCTACCTGGGAGTTATGTGCCACCCCCAGAACTTTCCCAGCATCTCTGCTAGCTGCTGAGCCTGAGACACCTCTTTCTGATGCTTGCTCAGTGTCAGTTGTCCTGCTGCTCTAGCCATGAAGGGGACGGTGTGGAGGAGGAGCATCACTCCTCACCACTCTGCTGCAATCCCGACACCTGCCATCCTGTTCCTGAGATTGGATCAGTATTTTAGAGTCAGAGAAAGGAAAGGGGAAGGACTGGTCCACCTGAGCCCGGTGGATCTGCGTGGGGACCTTAGTCCCCTCTTGGCTTAGAGAGAACCTGAATCCTGCAGAGCCACAGGCAGGGAAGCATATGGCCCAGGAGCCCCTCATCGAGGTTGCAGGGGGCTTCCTCTGAGCTATCAGAGATAGGCAGTACTCAGCAGTCATCTTTTTGTGTGCCAGATGTCTTCCTGGGACTGCCAAGGGCCTTCTGATACTCCAGCCGAGGTTAAGTGCCTATAGGCACATTCCTTTGGTGACAGGGCTGGCACAGCTCATGTTCAGCTGAACTCAGTGTCACACAGACACAGGGTACAACCCTACTATACTAACCTAGCCCTCTACTTTTTGCAGAGGACCTCGTACAGATGCCTCCAACACCCCCCAGCAGCCATGGCAGTGACAGTGATGGCTCCCAGAGTCCTCGCTCTCTGCCCCCCTCCAGCCCTGTCCGGCCCATGGCCCGCTCCTCCACGGCCATTTCCACATCTCCGCTCCTCACTGCCCCTCATGTAAGCACCTAGGGGTGGGCTGACCCTGGAGGTGAGATAAGGAGTACGTTCAGCTAGTGCCATGACCAGTGAAGGGGTCAGGATACCCCACATCTGATACTTATCCCGTTAGATACAGGGAGATGCCCTTCTGGCAAGTAAGGGGGCATTTTTCACTTCTGCCTTGGGATGACTAGAAATCAAAGGTTCCAGAAAGGCCTAGAAGCCATACTGTCATGGAGCTGAGAACCTGACATTTCTGTACTCTGGCAGTGACCCAGGCTATCCCCAAGGAGCACTGTTTGGGGGCAACATGGAAAGAGACCCAAACCCTGAGGGCATATCCTAAATTGAGATTATGGGGAGGGACCGGTTTCCGAAGACCTGGGGAAATGAGAGCACGGATTCTAGTATAGGGCGGGGAAGGGGCCTCCCAAAGCCCCCCTGACACTCGATGCATGTTACTGGGCTTAACTCAGATGCCTCCCCTTTTCCAAGGGGGAACCAAGGTTCAGAGAGCTGAGTACACAGTAGTGCTCAAATTCGAACCCCAAATTGCCTGTTTTCTTCAGAAACTACAGGGGACATCGGGGCCACTGCTCTTGACAGAAGAGGAGAAGCGAACCTTGATCGCTGAGGGTTACCCCATCCCCACCAAACTCCCCCTCACCAAGGCTGAGGAGAAGGCCTTGAAGAGGGTACGCAGGAAAATTAAGAACAAGGTAAGACTAAAGCCATCCCTACCCTAAGACTCTAGGGACCTCTGTTCCCTGGTGACATCAGTTCTAAAATTGGGGACCACCTAGGAAGTGGATGCATGGCAATGGTAACCCTTGCTTTGGAACTTCCTTCTTTAGATCTCAGCCCAGGAGAGCCGTCGCAAGAAGAAGGAGTATGTGGAATGCCTAGAAAAGAAGTGAGTGTTCCAGAATGGGCAGGCTGGGACCCAGCCCGTGTGCTGTCCTTAGTCAGAGGCCCAGCTGCAGGCAGTGGGTGGCAGTAGGCGGAGGGCAGGGCCAGTGAGTCTGTGGGGAGGCCTTCAGCCTCTGCCTGCTTGGCCTTCCAGGGTGGAGACATATACATCAGAGAACAATGAGCTGTGGAAGAAGGTGGAAACCCTAGAGAATGCCAACAGGTGAGTGGTACCCCCTGTGTCCCACCTATCCCACTAAAGATGGTGGCTGACTCTGGGAGGCAGGAGAGAAGAGAGAGAACCAGGTCGGAATGATACTCCAAAATGTTCCCCAGGACTGTCCTGCCAGTCGCCGGCTTCCCAGCTGTCCTTCACTGCACATAACTCTAGACATCTGGCAGGCTGGTGAGATCTTAAGAAAGACTATACAGGGCAGAAGCTCTCCAGATGTGCTCCACAGCATCTGCCTCTCAGCCTGTTAGAAATGCTTTTTCTCTCTCGCAGGGCATGTCAGCTCATGTCCTTAGTCCCAGCACTTGAGAGGCAGAGGCAGGCAGATCTCTGTGAGTTCAAGGCCAGTCTGGTCTACATAGGGAGTTCCAGGACAGCCAGGACTGCATAGAGAAACCCTGTCTCAAAGAAACAAACAAAAACAAAAAATGCTTATTCTCGGGCCCAGAGCTGGGTTTACTGCAGGAGGGAGGGAGCAGCAATCTATGTAGATTTTATTTTGTTTTGAGACCGAATCTCAAATAGCCCAGGCTGGCTTCAGACTCACCAAGTAGCTGAGGACAACCTCCAACTCCTGATTCCTCAGCCTGTACCTCCTAAGTACTAGGGTACCAAGTGTGTCATTATGCCTGGCTGCAATCGGTGTTGCTGTTGTTTGTTTTATGTGTATGAGTATTTTTCCTGCATGTATGTCTGAGCAACACATGCATGTAGGTGCCCATGGAGATCAGAAGAGGGTGTTGGATCTTCTGGAAGTAGAGTTCCACATGGTTATGAGCTGCCATGTGGATGCTGGGAGCTGAACCTGGATCCTCTGGGAAAGCGGCCAGTGCTCTTAACCACAGAGCCACCTCTCCTTCCGTGTTTTAGTATGCCTTCGAGTAGTTCCCATGACTATTAAATCTGCTGGCCTTGCTACTCAAAGCCAGTTCCCTATTACAACCTGAGAACTTGTAAGAAATCAAGAATTTCAGGACTTTCCTAAGATTGTTAGGTCAGAATCTACCTAGCATGTGTTCGTGTGTGTGTGTGTGTGTGTGTGTGTGTGTGTGTGTGTGTGTGTGTATGTTACCCATGTGTGTTATCTGTGTGTATGTATTATCTGTGTGTGTTGTCTCTCTGTATATGTTATCTGTGTGTGTGTGTGTGTGTGTGTGTGTGTGTGTGTGTGTGTCCAGAGATCAACATCTGGTGGCTTCCTTGGCTGTTCTTCACTTTATCATCTGAAACAGTGTCTTTCACTGAGTTTGACCCCCACTGGCTGGCTGAACTGACTGTTTCTGTTTCTGTGTCCTGTGTCCTCTGTTCTCCTCCCCTGACACACCAGGGTTACAGCAGCCATGCTTGGCTTTCTTGCCTGGCTTTTTTTTTCTTTTTTTCTTTTTTTTTTTTTTTTTTTTTTTTTTTTTTTTTTTTTGAGACTGGGTCTCTCTGGTTTATAGCTCTGGCTGTTCTGGAACTCCTTATGTAGATCAGGCTTGCCTTGAACTCACAGAGACCCACCACCCACCTGCCTCTGCCTCTGCCTCCTGAGTGCTGGGACTAAAAAGTTGTGCACCACCATGGCTGACTCATGCCTGGCCTTTTCACACTGGGATCCAAATTCAGATCCTCAGGCTGGGTGATCACTTTCCCACTAAACCCTTTCTCCGACTCCCCAACTCCATTTTAAGAAGCAGCCTGGGCGACTGCATCGCACTTCATTTGATAAGCACTGGGAAGCCGCACGACACCTGGCATGTAGCATGAAGTCACAGCCCTGAGCTCTAGGTTCTTGCTTCACTCTGCTATTTCTTGTGAACCTCTCTGGGCCTCAGTTTTCTTGGCACCAAGGATATGACAGCACCGCTTACAGACACGACGACTGTTGTGTTGCATTAAAGAATGCTTACCTGGCTAGACAGTGGTGGCGCACACCTTTGGTCCCAGCACTCAGGAGGCAGAGGCAGGTGAAACTCTCTGAGTTCAAGGCTAGCCTGGTCTACAAAGTGAGTTCTAGGTCAGCCAATGTTACACGGAGAAACCCTGTCTCCTCGAAAAACAAAACAACAAAAAAGAATGCTCACCTGCTGATTTTGCCCCTTTTATAATACTGTTTTGAATTCTAGATAGTGCCCTGAACTATGAACCTACTGAAGTGTTTAATATTATTTTCTAGGCATGATTACAATAGCACAAACAACAGCGTTTAATGGGAGAGTAACACGCCCATCTCACAGCTATGCTGAGGATTGAACCTAGTACCTTGTGCACACTAGGCAAATGCTTTACCGAGATACTATGTGTCCTCATTTTGTTTTTGATTTTGTGTTTGTCTGTTTACATTATTTTTAAAAGTTTTAAGTTATGTTTGTTTATTTATTTCCTGGGTATGTGTGTGCACATACCGTGGTGCACCTGTGCAGGTTAGAGGGCAATTTGCAGGGTTTTTCTGTGTTGTGGCTTAGCCCTGAACTTCCTATGTACCCGGAAAAGGCATCCTCCTGGCCTGCCTTGGGAGAGCCTCTCTACATTTTCTCCTTTCCTTCCTGTGACCCTGCTTCTTAGGCGGATCCCAACCACTGCCCTGATTGGCTTAAAGAATCCGCGACTCCTCCCCCTACTCCCAACCAGGATAGGGGCGGAGCCTTCAAACTTCATCTAGCTACCTCTGCCCTTAAATATCGAAGAGCTTTAGGGATATTTCGCCACCTACTGTTCACTTTAGGAACTGCATAAACCTAGCTACGTGGAAAAGTGCACTATTTACTGTGTGTACTCAAAGGATTCCGTGCTGGACAGTACCTAGTTCTTGCCCTCACTTAGCAATGGAGATTGACATGGAGGCCTACAAATAAAGCTAAAGGGTTACAGGTGTTGCACTAATAGTAAAAACAGCAATAAAATTAACATAAACAATGGCTACCATTTACTGACTTCACTACACACTGTGCCAAGAGTCTTTCTTGTCGAATCAGGGTGCTGTGGGGTGCAAAGGAGGCAAGCTGATGTGTCTGTGACTGGTTTGGGGTAAGAAAAATATAGCCTTTTCTGAGGAGAGTCAGGGCACTCCCTAAGTTTCTTCAGGTGAGCCAACTTTCCACCATGAGGCAGGCCCCAGATATCCAAGCCAGGCTGCAGAAGAGCCAAGCAAGAGGTGACCTGCCCAGTCAAGAGAAGAGCAAGCCACCTTAGGAGAGGCCAGGATGTAGACACAGTTGCCCTACTTGGTCCCCTCTGGTGACTACTGTGCCTTCCTCAGGACCCTGCTCCAGCAGCTGCAGAAACTCCAGACTCTGGTCACCAGCAAGATCTCCAGACCTTACAAGATGGCGGCCACTCAGACTGGCACTTGCCTCATGGTAGGTGCTACTCCCTAGCACAAGGCCACATCGGGTAGCTCCTCTCAAGGCCTGCTCTCTGGGACAGTAAGCAGAGCCTGCAGGGGCCGGTGACCTGAGCAGACCAGTCCTAACAGAAGTGAGATTGATGCCACTGAATCCAGTGAAGGGCAGGTCCTTGGGAAAGTGGCTTCTTCAGATGTGGGGAGTGTGGCTCTTTTGGGAATGGGTGATAAGGAGTCTGAGAGCCCCCAGGGGACACCTAGGAAATGCTTGGTCTCTGTTTGGCCCTCTTCCATTAGTCTGTCTCCTCTCCAGTGAGCACATGTTGCCTCTGAAATCCTGAGGGCAGGGCCTCACTGGAGCTGCCCAGGAACTCTTAGTTCCTTCTTGTCAACTTCCTGGGGCTCAGGCTGAGAATGTGATGTGGGGAGATGTTCCCCACCCTGGTCACAGTTGCAACCCTCCCTTTTCCCTTCCCCTTCCCCTTCCTCTTCCTTCCCTGACTTCTCTCCCCTGTGGGTGGAAACGACATAGAACCCTCCCTGCTGGCTCTGATACTGCTTTTCATGTTCCCGGGGTTCAGTTCAGGGTGACTGAGCAGCCTTTGCTTTCAGAAGGGCAAAAGACTCACTTCTAGGAAACAGCCAGCTCTGGAGAGGCTTTCTTGGGAAAACACTGGGCCTTTTGCATCCAACAGTTTGGGGTGAGGAGAAACAGGGGTGGCCAATCTGGTAGGCCCTCCCTGCCCCAGATCTGATGGCTGCTCTGCCCGCTACTAGGTGGCAGCCTTGTGCTTCGTTCTGGTGCTGGGCTCCCTGGTGCCCTGCCTTCCTGCGTTCTCTTCTGGCTCAAAGACTGTGAAGGAAGATCCTATTGCAGCTGACAGCGTCTACACAGCCAGTCAGAGTGAGTACCCCTCAAATTCTGGGTGGGGCCCAGATATGAGAGAGAAGTCATGCCAGGTACACTGGCACACATCTTTAGTCCCCACACTCAGGAGGCAGAGGCAGGTGGATCTCTATGAGTTCAAGGCCAGCCCAGTCTACAAGGAGACTTCCAGGCCAGTCAGTTTGGAGGGCTGGAGAGATGGCTTAGGAGTTAAGCGTACTGGCTGTTCTTCCAGAGGACCCAGGTTTGATTCCTAACCACCCACGTGGTGACTCACAGTCACCTGTAACTCCAGTTCCAGGGGATCCAGTGCCATCTCTGGTCTTTGAAGGCACCAAGCACACGAATGATGCACAGACACACAAGCAGGCAAAATATCCATTCACATTAAAAAATTAAAAAATAAATATTTTTCAAAGATAGAGGTTGGAAGCAGGACAGAAGTGGCCCAGCACTCGGGAGGCAGAAGCAGGTGGATGTCTGCATTCAAGGCCAACCTGGTCTACAGAGAGAGTTTCAGGACTCTGAAACCAGGGCTACACAGAGAACACTTTCTCAAACAAACAGACACAGAGAAAAAGATTGGGGTTGGCATTATCTCAATTCTACACTTTAATTTTGCAGATAGAATAACTGAGCCCCAATGAGGGACTAGGATTTATTTAATGCTAATGGTAGAATTGAGACCACACTCTAGTCTGCCTCTCTGAGATCCCTTGGTGTGACTTGGAGGAGGCAGCCTTAGAGGACGGTAGAGCATTCTAGGTCTAACCTCCATGTATGAGGGTGGCAGTGGTTACGATGCATTGACTAAGCACTGTTTGTATTTTGGTACTGGGATAGCAGATGAGTGTCCACCTTTAGTCACTTCTAATATGGTAGAGACTACCCAACATGCAGAGTTAAGAAAGATTCTGAGGCACACAGGACCCACAGCTAGGTGTCAGGACTCTGCTGGGAGCACCTTCCCCTGGTGAGAGTGGTAGTCGTGTTATGGGTGCCACCCGGTCGAGTGCTGTGTGGTCCGATGGTTCAGGGTCAGTCCCAGCTGGCACTGCTGTTTGCTGGTTGTAAGACTGTCTTCAGCTCTCTAGATGTTGATTTCTGGAACCCAGAAGCTGCTGTCCTTTTATGCACAGTGGTTCTGGTGCTCACAGTAGGTGAGCATAAGCCCTGCCTTCGGACTAGCTCCTGACATGAGAGGAAAGACAGGGCAGGAACAGCAAGGGAAAGTCAGTACAGGGGACAGCAAAGAACAGCACGGCTTTCAGAGGCAGAGGCCGCTTCAGGTGGGCCCATGGAGGAACTTGCAGGCCCTGCTTCACACACCAGAAGCATGTATCAGACGTGGCAGAAGAGAAAGAGGAAACAGAAGAGGTCAGAGAGAGGGGAGAGCAGGGAGGAGTGTGTTAGGAGGAGGGGTACTGCAGGGAGGATAAGCAAGACACTGAGGGCCTGGAAGGGAGGAAGGGAGCTGGAAGGAGGACTAAGAGGAAGAGGGATTGGAAGCCACTCCAGGAGGGCTGTGATGGGGTGGGGTGGGAGGAGTACCTAGGCTCTGAGAGGCCTGAGGAGAGGACTGACCACACAGGGGGCGGGTGGGGGTCGCGCTGATGGACATAACCCACTGAGGGGAAAGCAGGGCACAGGGCAGGGTAGAGGGCATGTCTGAGGAAGGAGGTGGCTTGTTGAGCAGGCTGGTTTCCGGACTGCAGCTTCACACAATGCCAGGGGCCGCCTTTTCCATAGATTAGACCCTGCAGGGGAAGCTGGGAGGTAGCCAGCAGACTCTGGAGTCAGGAAGCCAACTTGTAGGGACCCCTGATGATGAGCTCTGGGAAGCAGGGCTCAAAACACTTTATTTCCAAGGCTTCATGTGAGATTCAAGTTGCTGTAAGCTGAGAATTTTTGTATAATGTCTGGTACAGGTGTCCAACAAATGTCCATTTTCCTCCCCTTCTCTGAAGGGTGAACTCGCCTAGAAGTGAAAAGAAAGATTTCCCTTTAGTATCTCAGGAAATAAATGTCATGGTAGGATTAGAGCCGGCTCTCAGTAGGTCCTGAAGGTCTAGGCCTGTGATCCCAGTTTCTCAGTCAAAGCAGGGAAGAGAGTTCAAGTTTAAAGGTTAACCAGTCAAGCGGGGCATTGGTGGTGCACGCCTTTAATCCCAGCACTCCGGAGGCAGAGGCAGAGGCAGAGGCAGGCGAATCTCTGTGAGTTCGAGGCCAGCCTGGTCTCCAGAGCGAGTGCCAGGATAGGCTCCAAAGCTACACAGAGAAACCCTGTCTTGAAAAAAACAAAACAAAACAAAACATCTACAAAATGAATTAAAGACCAGCCTAGCAACTCAGTGAAACCCTGTCTCAATATGAACTTGAGAAAAAGAGAGGCTGGAGGATGGGAGGATGGACAAGCTGGCTCAAAATCCTGGTGGTAGAGTATTGGCGTAGCAAGCCTGAAGGTCTGGGCTTGATCCTTAGTACCATGGGGGCGGGGTGGGGAGGAATTCCAGTTTTCAGTAAGCAAACCAGCATTCTTGTCCCAGAAGTGCTGCGTTTTTGTGAGCTCTTGACTTGACTGAGCACAGTTTTAATCCCTTACACTGTAATACTCATTGAATCCTTGAATCTCCCCAAGGTTGGTTCCACTATTCCCATTTTACAGATCGACAAACTGATGCTCGGCAAAATCAGAGCCGAGTGTGTAACTAACCTGAGATCACACAGCCAGGGATCCTTAGGGTTGGGATTAAGAGTCAGGCCTGTAAGATTTCAGATCCTATGCCCTTCATGTCTAGCACATGAATAGGGCTATTTGAGCACAGGGAGCACCTATTGCTCACCTTGTTCTTTTCCCCTAGTGCCCTCCCGAAGCCTACTGTTCTATGATGATGGGACGGGTTTGTGGGAAGATGGCCGAGGCGCCCTACTGCCTGTGGAGCCCCCAGAAGGCTGGGAGCTCAAACCCGGGGGGCCAGTAGAGCCAAGGCCCCAGGACCACCTCCGACATGACTATATGGACAGCACCCATGAGACCACCAAGTACTTGAGTGAGACCTGGCCAGAAGATGCTAACGACAATGGCACCAGCCCCAACTTCTCCCACCCCAAGGAGTGGTTCCATGACAGGTGAGTAGAGGGGCAAGCTCCCAGGGGGAGGGGCAGGCTCCCAGGGGAGGAGCATTTTCCTTGGGGATGAGCATCCTCTCAGGGAGCGGGGATCCCTGGTCTAGACCCAACTGACAGCTAAGTGAGGGGCATCTCAAAGCAGATTCATCCCTGGATCGTCTTCTCTCCCCAGGGATCTGGGCCCCAATACCACCATCAAACTCTCCTAGGCCTCTCCGAGACCCAGGACACAGGACGGACACCCTGGCACCCAGAAGAGGCATTCTCTTGCTCACCGACCCAGATCCAGCTCCTACCCCTGTCCTGGAGCCTTCTGCCCCAGGAGAAAGGGTCTTTCTTCTCCCCAGCCATCCCGGTCCCTGTTGTGACTGGAGTCCCTCTATGTCCCCAGGCATTTGGACTGCTCCCCTGGGCCAACCACTCTGTTCCCACTTCTTCCCACAATCATCCGTCCTCTCCAATAAACCACTCACTGGGCCACTCCTGTTTCCTTTTCCGTAGTGACCAACACGACCACTGTTCCTGGCCCCTCATACACACACACACACACACACACACACACACACACACACACACACACACACATACAATCACACACCCCCACCTCCTACTGTACAGAGATCAAGAACAGAAATTGTTTGTAAATAATGAACCTTATTTTTTATTATTACCAATCCCCTAAGATAATGTATTTTACAAATCTCCCTTCCATCACCTCTCCCTTATTTTGTATTTTATGAAGTTAGCGCGGGCTTTGCTACCCCTTGGCTGGGACAGAGGGACACCCCACCCTCACCTGGCTTCCCCATGCCGCTGCCCAAGCTGCTGGGCCTTTTTAATTGCCAAACTGCTCCCTCCACCAGCTCAGCACATGCTTTAAGAAAGCAAAATTAAAAAAAAAAAAAAGATTCAGCATCAATCCTGACTTTGTGCCTTCTTTGTGAGGGGTCCAAGAATGAGATAAGGAAGTTTATTTTATATTTCTGTGGGGGATGGGGAAGGGCGCCTGGTGAGAAGACCTGTCTGTCTGGAGACTTTTGTCCATCCAATACCAAGAACTACATTAAAAAAAAAAATGCTGGCCAGTGCCCATGGTGGCACATGCTGTCAATCCCAGTACTTGGGAGGTAGAGGCAGGTGGATCTTTGTGAATTCAAGATCAGCCTAATCTACAAATCGAGTTCTGAGACAGCCAGGACTGTTACACAGAGAAACCCTGTCTCAAAAAAAAAAAAAAAAAAAAAAAAAAAAAAGTCGATGCAGTGTTGTATATCTGTAGTCTCAGCCAAGATGGGAGACAGGAAACAGAAGAATCTCTTGGAGGCTCAGCTTGCAAGCCAACAGCCTACAGCAAAAACAAGAGAGACCCTACCTCGAAAGACAGAAGGCACAGGGTATAATGGTGCAGACCTTTAATGCCAGCACTGTGGAGGCAGAGACAGGTGGACCTAGTCTACATATCGAGTTCAAGGCCTACCAAGGCTACATAGTGAGAGACTGTCTTAAAAATAAATAAATAAAAACAGAAAATTCAGAAGGTAAGAACATTTCTGAAAGTTGTCCTAAGATCTCTGTATGTACAGCATGAATGCAGACACACAAGCACATGCAAGAAGAAGACATGGAGGAGGAGGGGCGGGGGACCAAAAACATGCATATCTGTAAATCTAAGGCTGAAGGGGAAGGGCTCCCAGCTGAGGTTAGGAAAAGCCAGCATCTGGGTGATGCTAGAGGCTTGGGTCCACAGACAGCAAAGAGAGGTAAGAACTGAACACCAGGGAAGACCACAGTGAGGAGGAGGAAGAGTGAAGAAAGAGACTGAGACAGAATGAGGAAAAGGGAGTGGGGATGGAAAGTGAGTGCCCAGAAGCCAGTTTTGCTGGTGACAGAGCACGTCTTTAATCCTGGGGCAGAGGCAGGTGGATCTCTGAGTTCAAGGCCAGCCTGATCTACAGAGCAAGCTCCAGGACAGCCAGGGCTATACAGAAAAACCCTGTATTGGGAAAAAAAAAAAAAAAAGCAAAAGTCCCCCCCAAAAAACAAACCAACCCCCAAAAAAACAAAACCCGAGAGAGAGAGAGAGAGAGAGAGAGAGAGAAACAGCTTTAAGACAGGGTGGGGTGGCCAGAGTGTCAAGCGCAGTTGATGAAAAAGCAGAAGTGAGAAGGTCACAGTGCCCTTGGGAGGAGCTCTGGCAGAAGTGAGACGGAGGTGAGAATGGGAGGGATGGAAATGAAGGCTGGAAAGATGGGGGCGTGGACAAGGAACAGAGGCTGATAGACCGGCCACCCAGACAAGGTCAGGAGCAGTTCAGGCTGTTTTTCACACAAAAGGAGATTGACCATGATTATTTCTAGAAGACAGACAACAGAAGGAAGACTAGTGGATGGGGGATGGGAGCCAGAGTGTGTGTGTGTGGGGGGGGGGGGGATTCTTGTGCCAAGAAGACCTGGGTAAGAAGGGGCAGGTATTCTATAGATGTAGAATGAGGGGGGAAGGAAATTGAGGGGACCTTTAATAACTGTGAGGCTTGGGCTAGGACAACAGGGAGCACTGGCATGAAATGAAGACAAAAGGAGTCTCTCCCCTTTCCCTGATCCCCACAGAGCTTTCCTGTGTGGCGCTCTCCCATTCCTCACTCACAGGAGAACCGTGTATGTCCCAGCAGGAACTGAAATAGTCCTAAGAGACACCCTCCCCTCTATGCAGTGCCGGGAATGAAATCAAGGCCTTGTACCAGTGCTCAGTCCCTGACCTACATTTCCCGAAAGGTTTTTGGTTTGTTTGTTTGTTTGTTTTGAGATGGAATCTTACTATGTAGCCCTGGCTGACATGGAACTTACTACAAAGGCCAGGCTGGACTCAAACTCACCAATAGCTGCCTGTCTCTACCTCCTGAGTGTTGGATTAGAGTGTGTGTCACCACACTTGGCCAAGAAGGGCACTTTACAGATGAAAACAACAACAAACCAATGTTCAGGGCTGGAAAGACGTTCAGCAGTTAAGAGTGTGTGTGTACTGTGCCAGGTGGTGGTGGCACATGCCTTTAGTCCCAGCACTGGAGAGGCAGAGGTAGGCAGATCTCTGTGAGTTCCAGGCCAGCACGGTCTACAGAGTGAGTTCCAGGACAGCCAGAGCTACAGAGAAACCCTGTTTAGGAAAAAAAAAAAAAAAAAAATCAAAAAATTTTTTAAAAAAGGAAAGAAAGTGTGCTATTCTTGCAGAAAACCCAAGTTTGGTTCCCACCTCTCCTGATTTCCACAGGTTCAGGCACTCATGCACACATGTGCAAGCATACACAGAGGAGGAGGGGAATTGGAGAGATGGCTCAGTCATTAAAGGCTAGGCTCACAACCAGAGAGAGAGAGAGAGAGAGAGAGAGAGAGAGAGAGAGAGAGAGAGACAAGGTTCAAAGAAATCATCTCTGAGGCATTTGAATACCAAAGCTGCTATGTGGACTCAAGTCTACTGGTTTTACCACTGTTCCTAGCTCCCCTTCCTGTTTCCCCTTCCTCCTCTATGACCATACAGGGACTTGACTATCAGTGTTTCTCAATGGCCACAACAAATCCTTTGTTATAGCTAGAAACCAAAGCTCTGGAAACTGGCCGTCCAAGCAAGGCTCTAGACCCAGGAGGGCCAGACCAGATCCGACCAAAATGAACACCTTTCTGATGTAGGTAACAAGTAGCCTGTGGGTCTTCCTGGACATGGAGGAGAGAGGCCAGAACACTCAGTTCCAAATGAGTCCAAGTTTCTTGGTCACCAGAGTGGCTAAGTACATGGTCTCTGAAGGGTGTGCTGTCTCCCTAATCTACTTAATGTCTCCAAGACCCACTGAGCTCATCTGTAAAATGGTATCCACCCTCCTAAAGCTGTTTTTGAGAAGTCAATGAAAACTTGCCAGGAAAATGCTTAGTGCCAGAGCCATTATACCGTAGACACCAGTAACTGTTCTCAAAGTACAGTGGTAATGGGTGGGCCGGGACCAGAGGAGTGAGATGCAACTACAAAAGGCTGCAGAAGGTGGTGAGGCTGGCTGGGGAGAGGGCTTCATTTTTCTCTTCTTGGGAAGGAAGCCAAGCCCTAGCTTAAAGATAATGCAGCCAGCAGCTAGCCCTAAGTAGGGAGGTGTGTGGATGATGGAATGAAGCCCACTTTAAAAAGCGCTAAGTGGGGGAAAGCTCTGCAGGAAAGAGCTAAACAAAAACCCAACCTGGGAACCCAGCAGTTAGGCAGCTGGCGAGTGAATGTCAAACCCAGCCAGCACTACCATAATTCATGGTGTAGGAGGCTACTCTGGGCCAGGTTGTTTGGAAATCAAAGCCCAGAGTCCTAGAAGGGAAGGCTCAAGGGCAGCTGTGGTGCAGGGTGGGGGCTTCCCATCCTCCAGCAGCAGGGTGTCTTTATAACTTGGCTTTGGGGAGAAAGTGTTCCTTTGTGGCTAAGGAAGCTTAATCTAATTCTTTTATCCAAAAGGGGCTTGCTGGAGCACTAAGATGTGGGAGGCTAAGTGATAACAGACCTTTGGGGGTTTACAGAGTGGAGAGAAGGGAGGGTTGCCACAGCAGTGGAGGAAAAAGGACATGAGCGCTGGTACCAGAAGCCTGGATTTAAATCCAAGTGCACTGCCACTCATCATGAGCTATTTTGAGCAACTAAATCATTGAATGTCATTTCTGAATCCTTCTCTACAGCATGGAGGAAATGATAATACCTACCACCCAGGGATGTGTTTAGGGATAAATGAGATGGTTGCTACTGTTAGTGTGCAGGGTATGGCCAGTGAAATCTGCTTGGACCAGAGAAGAGAGTACCTGCAATAGAATATCAAGAAGGAATGTGTGGGGACAACGGCTTTGGAAATGGGCTTTGAAGGATGGATATGCTTTCCATATGAGAGACAAAGAAGAGAACATACTCCAGGCACTGCATAACCTAAGCAAAGGCATAGAGTGGGACAACCACAGCCAGGATGGAGAATATCAGAGAACCCCAAAGCAGCCCAGACTCTACCTATGTGAGTCTGGCTTCTCCCACTTTCCCACACTCACTGGCAGCGGGAAAGACAGAGACTACACTAGACATCTGCACGGTCAAGGAAGGCCAGGAGGAAGCCACTCAGCTGGTTTAACCCAGGAGCCATTTTGGAAGAGAAAGCTTTCGAGGAAGTCTCAGAATTTAAAATCTATGATCAGAAGTACATTTCAGGTGGAGGGGACTACCTAAATGATGCTATGAAGAACTGATGTCAGTTCCAGAATAAAATGCAGAAGAAGAAAGGGTGGATGGGGCTGGATAGTGGGATATGAGCCTTGAATGCCAAGCTAGAGTATAGGCAAAGCAT